TTTCTTTCTTTCTTTCTTTCTTTCTTTCTTTCTTTCTTTCTTTCTTTCTTTCTTTCTCTCTCTCTCTCTCTCTTTCTTTCTTCCTTTCTTTTTGAGAAAATTTTTATTTATAACAAAAACTGTGGCATCTAACAGAGTTCCCCACCTCTACTTACCCCCCCACACACACAGGCTCCTGTATTATCAGTGGTTTGAATAGAAATGGCTCCCATAGGCTTGGTCCTTAGTCCTTAGGGAGTGGCACTACTTGACAGGGAACAGGAGGTGTGGCCTTGTTGGGGTGGGTGTGGCCTTGTTGGTGTGGATGTGGCCTTGTTGGAGGAACTATGTCACTGGGGGTGGGCTTTGAGGTTTCAAAAGCTCAAGCCAGGCCCACTGTCTCTTCCTGCTGCCTGTAGATCTGAATATAGAACTCTCAGCTACTTCTCCAGTACCATGTCTACTTGTATGCTGCCATACTCCCCACATGGTAATAATGGACTAAACCTCTGAAACTGTAAGCAAGCCCCAGTGAAATGCTTTCTTTTATAAGAGTTGCCATGGTTATGGTGTCTCTTCATAGCAATAAAACCCTGAATAATACAGAAGTCATCCAGGGAAGTCAGAGGTTATGGAAGAGTGTCTTTCTTACAGGCTTGCTTTTAACAGCCTGCTTTGTTATAGTAACTAGGACCACCAGCCCAGAAGTGACATCACCCACTGGGCTGGGCTCTCCCATAAAAACACTAATTAAGAAGATGTACTGCACCTATGTCTTATGAAGACAGGCCTATCTTATGGAGACATTTTCCCAAATGACTCTAGTTTGTGTCAGGTTGACATAAAACTATCGAGACCAGCATAGATTCCTGGTTGTTGAGTGTAGAGACACCAGCAGGCCAGGCCCAGAGTGATCAGCCTTTCGACTGAACAGTTGGGACTACTCATTTTCATGACCTTGAACCATGGGCTTCTGACTTTTTTGGACCAGCCTCACCAGACACTTGATACTCAAGAGCCTAAAACCACTGGCACTGAAAATACTGCCCTTTCATTATTGAGATAACAGAAAAACCTAAAAGAGATGATTAGCAGCAAAAGTTAGTATAAAGCCGGTACAACTCTCAGCTTATTCTATTCTTGTAAAAAACTGTGTTACTACTCTTATTCCCACTTAAAAATGAAGAAACTGAGGCTCAGCAGTTAAGAACACTTGCCCTCTCCAGAAGGTCTATGGTTCAATCCCCAGCACCCATATGATGGCTCACAACCATCTGTAATGCCAGTTCCAAGGTGCCTGATACCCTTTCTGGTCTTTATGGGCACCAAACATTCATGTACTGCATAGAAATACATGCAGGCAAAACACTCATATACATAAGATAAAAATAAAATACAATTTTAAAAATGAGGAAACTTTTATATTAAATTACCTGGGTTTTTCAGCTGATTAGCAGCCCCTCACCCCCACCCCCTTGGAGGTACCAGACTACTGTTTCCATCCAGTGCTTTGTCCCTGAGGAGTTGGCATCTGCACAATGCTCTTGACCCATTCTGGAATGCTTGGTGCCCCTCTGCGCTTCCAAGTCTGGTTCCCTGAACAGTGGGAGATGACGGTGTCTCAGAAATAATTGAGTTGACTTCAAGGGTTTCCTTATGAATTGGGGAGTTTTGATGGTATCAGGACTGAAATTTCATAGATGTCAGTCAACAGGCCAACTCTTATGTCAAGCATCCCTGTTTTACTGAGAGGGGCAGTAGGCTGGTTAGGATGGGGGAGCAGCTTCCCTGGCCATACTGTGGACTGGCTTGATCCTACTCCCAGTGTAGACACCCAGAGACTTCTCAAGTGATATTACTATACTTTAGACTTCCCACCTTGTTTCGGGAGATATTTAAATGGCAGCATTCAATTTGGCTTTTCTTAATCAGCCGCCATGTTCCCTACTAGCCTAGGCCTGCAGCCTTGAGTGGGGGCATACCGCCTGCTGCTGCTCAGCTCGGGCTGTCCGCTCAGGTGGTCAGAGACACTGGCCCTGCCACCCATGAGATGTCAGTGTGGGATTTCCCACACTGTCTCCGCAAGGCTGGGCTGTGCCCAGACCATCCCGGCCATCCACGCAAGCCCTGTAGTCAATGAAACTCTAATGCTTAAAGATTAATCAAAGGCTTTATATGTTTGGTAATGTACAATAACAATATGCCCATACAATTAGAGGTGTTTCCCAATTAGCTTAATATAAGTTGTTACCCTGGACTGCTCTCCATACCTGTGTGGCTCTCCATCCTCCTACATCTCTGGTCTCTCTAGCTCCTCCTCTTCCTTTTCCTCTTCCTCTCCTTACTCCTCCCACCTTAGCCCCTCCTACACCACCTAAACAAGTGAGAAAGAAAATTTATAAACCAAAATACAAATCTACTGTCTGAATTCTCACAGACTCAGAAGCAAACTCTTGGACTCCCAGTTCTCTCTCCAAGGCTTCTCATTTGCAGAGCTGTGGGTTATTTCTTCCTCTTCTTAAGGAATTTCAAACTTCTTCCTTGCATTCTGCAGGTACTATAAGGTTAGTGAATGCTAATTAAATTGAAAAGGTGTCAAATTCAGCTCAACAAACATCATTCCGTGGCACCTGTCTAAAACGGGAAGATCTAACACGGTGCTTTACACTGGGTATCGGCTCAATAAATCCACAGAGCAGAAGCGAAACACCTGGACCTAGTTTGCTCCTCTTGGGACTCAGCATCTGATGGCAAAGGCAGGAAAATAAGAAAACACTGGCTGTGCGCAATGGCAATTCCTACAGAGAGGCAAGCACTGCTTGCTTGTGGAAGACCTCTGATCTATAAAACGCAGAAGGCCAGCAGGAGCCAAGCCAGGGAGTTATGGAGTGTGTGCCTGGGATGCTGGATATAGAGGCAGGCTGAATTCAGTCATCTCTTCAGCCTGCTGAACAGGCTGTGTAAGTAGCTAGGGTGGTCACATTTATAATTACTTAGGCAAGATTTGGGAGGAATCTAAATAAGTAAATAGAGGAGGTGATCAGGCATACCATTTACACCTCTCTGGTTGGGGGTTTTTAAATAAAATAGGGAAGTGTAGACACATAACAGGAAACTGGTGGCAGAGAGTCAGTTGTGAGGCAGAACACAGAGGGGCAAATTGTTAACAAGATGGTAGTGACGCAGAGGGAGACTAGAGACGTTTTCACAATGGACTTGTTGAATGATGCAAAGGGAGGGGGAGCAGGAGTTGCTGGGGTAACACCAGGACATTTGTTTGACTTTTTGGGATAAGAATGATGGACTTCATCCAGGCAATGTGAGTGGAGAGAACAGTAGGTTTGGGAAAGTCAGATTTGTCTACTCGTGTAGGATGAAGCATTCCTGACACCTTGGAAGGAAGGGACAGTGTTTAGACATGGTGCGTGAGGACCATGGAGACGCTGTTGATGCCCTCACGCAGAGGAGATGAAGAAGTAAGTAACCGTTTATATACCATTTTCTAATTACTGCCTTTATTGTAGTAAAGCAGATATAACAGAATTTATCGTCTTCACCATCATTCAAAGCATACAGTGTAGAAAGGTCGAGTATAAACCCCGGTTGTCACAGAAACAACCTCCAAAATGCTTTTGTCTTGCAAAAGTGAAACACTGTACCATTGCATCACAGCTTGGGTATAAAATCCTCTGGCAAAAGCAGCTTAGGGGAGGAAGGGCTTAGCTGGCTCGCGGTGGGGAGGCCAAGCATCAGGAGCTTAAGCTGCCAGTCCTATCTCCTGCAGCATCGGGAGACAGAGCAGAAAGACGGATAGACGAAGGCATGCCTGCTGCTGCTCAGCTTTCTTCCTCCAGTTATGTAGTCCAGGCTCCCAGGCAGAGAACGGTGACATTTACAGCGGCTGCATCCTCCAGCCTCGGTTAATACAATCAAGTTAACCTCCCACAGGCATGCTCAGAAATGCTTCTCCCTGACGTATCTGTCAAACTGACAACTTGACACCCCAAGAACAACTTGAGACCCCAAGACATCCCCCTTTAAGTCGTAACTTTCCATCCATTGTCGGTATAGGCTCATGAAGGTGTTATAAGATGTATCCAGTCCAGTTTCAAAGATCCCCATAGTTTTTGAGACGTATAACAGTCCAGTGTCTCATCGGTGAGCTCCTATAAAGCTGTAAACATGATACGCACTGCTGGCGTATAATGGTACGGAGTAAACATTGTTATTCCAAATGGAAGAATCGGAGCATAATATGAAATGATACCAAAAGCAACCCCAAAATCCAGCAGGGCAAACAGGAAATCCATTTCTGCCACCCGGAGCTTGGAGTGTTCTAACTCTACTTGGAGTTGGGAGGATAATGGGCCTGGCACTAACAGAGACTGTGTACTTCAGCCACATCCTCTTGAATCCTAGATTGCTAAGGACCATCCTTCCCCTTCTTTTAGCAGCTGCTCATAGGAGGAGTACAATGAAAAGAATCGCTTTTGAAGCTGTGGTAGTCTGGACTCTTTCTGCCTCTTATTCGCTGTGTCTGGAGACAATTACTTTCTATCTTGACATCACTGGGCACTTCTTTTTTTCCGGATGAGCTTGAATGGGTAGTACCTCTTTATTAATTTATTTTTGTATGCTTTTCCCCCCCCAGTTTCACAGATGACTACCAGGGGAGAACAGGATGAGGGAGAAAGGAAAGGACCAAGTAGACTTCCTAGGAGGTCACCTGTCAGAGCAGAGGACACCAGTATTATGAAAGAGGCTTTAGGGTTGAAACTAGTGAATGAGTGGTGTATTATGACTGAAGTGTGACCTCATGCCCCATGACACACAGATGGCCAGAGTGACATCCCCTACCCCAAACCTACATTGTGCTTAGTGTGTTTGAGTTCCTTGGAGATGATGGCAGAGGGATCCGTGTCATGTTAAGGCAGAAACAAGTTTGTGAAGACAGAGGAGATAGGAAATGATCTAGGTTTTAAATACATGAAGAGGAAGATGAACGTGTCAGACCACTGTCTGGTCTCATGTTGGTTCATGCAGCTGCAGGGACAGTGAGCTATGGATACAGTTTGCTCCTGTGGCTATAGTGTTTGCTCATGCAATAACAGGATTTGCTCCTGCAGTTGCAGTGTTTGTTCATGCAGTCACAGTGTTTGCTTATGCAGTTGCAGTGTTTGTTCAGCAGCAGTATTTGGTCATGTGCCCACAGTGTTTGGTCATGCAGTTATAGTGTTTGCTCATGCAGCTGCAGTGTTTGCTCATTCAGCTGCAGTGTTTGCTCATGCAGTTGCAGTGAGCTATGGATACAGTGCTTGCTCATGTGGCTTCAGTGTTTGCTCATACACAATAGATAACAAGAGGATAAACTGCCAGATGTGGTGGTAGTCTGAGGTCTCCCAAACTGTGTTCAGAGAGACATGTGTAACAAAAATGTAGAGGGATCTATCAAGTGCAGGAGAGTGGGAAGAAGGATGAATTTGTGTTTGGAAGAATCTTAGATGACAGTGTAGTCATAACAAGATTTGAAAATGCCAGCAGGCAGCCCTCTAGCCCAGTAGTTCTCAACCTTCCTCATGCTGCAATCCTTTAATACAGTTTTTTGTGTTCTGGTGACCCCAGACATAAATTATTTTTATTGTTACTTCACAGCTATATTTTTGCTACTGTTATAAATAATAATATATCTGGGCAGTGGTGGCACACACCTTTAATCCCAGCACTTGGGAGGCAGAGGCAGGCAGATTTCTGAGTTCAAGGTCAGCCTGGTTTACAGAGTGAGTTCCAGGACAGCCAGGGCTACTCAGAGAAACCCTGTCTCAAAAAAACAAAACAAAACAAAACAAAAAACAAAAACAAAAAAACAAAAAACAAAAAACAAAAAAAAACTAAGAAACAAAAAAAGAATAATAATGTAAATATTTTTGGCGATAGAGGTTTGCCAAAGGGGTCATGACCAACAGGTTGAGTATTCCTGCTCTAGTCAGTCACCAGATTCAGGATGCTCAGGTTCCCTAGGAATAAGCCTCCCTTGTTATCCCAGTCAAACAAAAAAGATGTAATGACTATATTTTTTGCTGGTGTTACCAGAAGGATCCAAAGGTCATCATTTCATTAAAAAGTATGGCCCATTGGAGTATTGCACACACAGATATGCATACACATACACACAAACACACACACACAAAGTACACACAGACACACACATACACACACACACACATACACATACACACACACACACATACAGATACATACACATACGCATACACAGGTGGCACAAGAAGGCTGGGATCTCAATATCCCCTGCACACCTCAGAGACTACCTTTCTTTCATTGGGCCCACCACCTGTAACATATTATTATATCACAATCTGTGTTAGCATATGGGAAATAGTGTTAAAATTATGAATTTAAAACAGTGTAAATGCACTATAGGGCTGGCTGTACCACATAGTTAATTAATAATAAAAACATTGTGATTTCTCCCTTGAATTTCATGATGCCATTGTATTCCCATTCTTTTTACAATTTTAAGTTTCGTAGTAATTTTTCATTCTGAATGTTCATTATAATTATTTTTATTTATAAATGTATATTAATTTGTTTAAAGAAGATTTTCTTTCACCATATTGTATGCGTTTCAAGGGCCACACCTCTGGAAATGCTTTTATTTTTAATTTTCAAATATTTATTATGAATGCTTGGGTGTATGGTGTGCACTACATTCATGCAGGTGTACACAAAGGCCAGAAAAGGGTAACAGATTCTGCTAGAACTGAAGTTACAACAGTTGTAAGCTGCAGTACGGATGATGGGAATTGAATCTGGGTCCTCTACAAGAGTAGCAAGTGTTCTTAACCCCTGAGCCATCTCTCTAGCCTTCCTAGAAATACTTTCAAAAGATTATAAAGAAGACAGAACGTCTCCTGTGCTGCTTTCTCATTTTTCCTACTCCTCAAGTCAACCAAGTTTATTTTTTCAGCTGTGATTCTATTGGCAATTATAGTATCCCTAAATAACATGCTTGCTTTGCTACTTCTTGATTTATTCAATGTTAGGCATCATCTACAAGCTTCTCCCTTGGCAGATAAAAATGTAACTACTGTTCACCATCTCAGTATGCTTTTATCATTATTTTTAGTCAAGCAAATAATCTGTATTTATCTGTCAATACTATAAGCATCACATGTTTCAGAAGCAGTATTTAGATCAAAATCACGGCTACTTTGTAGCACAGGTGTGACTTACTGAAGCTTTTCTCTTTCCTAGAGAAGATATGCTAACATCTGTCCTCCCCTAATGATCTGTCCATCTTTTAGAGTTTAAATCCTTCCCTGTTCAATGCTCTTAGTTCTTTTCCTAAATTGCAATGTCTGGCACATTTAACATATAAGAAATAAAGATTGTGTGTATAAAATAATGACCTTAATTTTTGGTTACATGAAATTATTAATTTTGTCAGGTTTTTAAAAGTTATTTTTCTGTTGTGCTTTGGAACAATTACTCCACTCTCTTTTTTCTATTTGTGCTAATTTTAATGTGTAGTTAATACACAGTACTTAGGCATATGTCACAATATTTTATCCTTTTATTTTAATCACTACAAAATAAGAGTGATTTAAGTTTCAGTTGGTATTCAATGCATTTCTGTATCTCCTGGCTTTCAAAAGGTTTCATATTGTAAATATGTATATTTAAATACAAAAGAATTTGTCTGTGGAGGCATGTTTCCACTGCTCTTTTCTGAGCCACGGGTCGTAAATAAAATCCTACTGGTTATGAAGACCAAATGAACTTTGTTTTTAGAATTTGCACTTATTTTTTTAAGTATCACAAAGCAATTTCTTAAATTGAAAAAAAAAAGGAGGGGGACATCCCATGAGCCAGAAGAATTTACTATTTACTTAGAGATGACCATTCCTATCTTGCTACATTAAGAATGTCAACTGTCTAGTATTCTTAAACAATAGGTAGAGAGGAGGAAAAGCCAGTTCTGTTGTTCACTGAGAACCTAAACACTAAACATGCTCTTTCAATGCCGTTTAACCTACTGAACATGTTTATATAAGACTGTCTTTCTTACTCTTTCTCATCCTGAAGTGGTATTGCATACTCATATCATGGAATCATTGCTGGCTAGGCAAGTTGTGGTAACTAGATATAATTACATCCCTTCTATTTGTGGTGCATGCAACACATCCATCCCTACAGCCTTCATCTCCTTGACAGAGAATTTAAAAGAAGGAGACCGTGGGTGGCAACTAAGACAGAGCCTCATAGTACAGAAGCTATTTGTTAACTCTGACATTGAATGGGGAGAGTGTGACTTAGAAGGAAGACCTTCCATGAAAGAAGACCATGGAAAAACTTAATTTTTAAAGTTGGGATAACTCAAGATTTCCAAGCTTGTGTTCAAAGGATTTCCAAGTGCTTATTGGGAGTGTTCGAGCTGATCTATGTATCACCCAGGCAGCCAATAGCGCTTCTGAAACTACACAGTGCTCATCAGTGTCATGAACACTGTCTACATGTCATGAACATTGTCCACTGCTCAGCAGAAGCTTGGCTTCAACTTTCTTGTTGTGTTTTGAATCGTGTTTATGGCCACTGACTACACACTTTTCTGTCTCTTAGCCACTGTACTTGAACATACTACAGAGGAAAAGGAGCTGGTTGAAATTGTTTTATATTCACTCATCTGTCCACCCATTTTTGGGCCAGTCTTAATGACTGCACAGAAAACTTCTTCAGACTCAGGTCACTATTAGTCACTAATGCAGACAAATATGTCACATTGTCCTCTGAGAGGTTCAAAAAAGATTCTCAAGTTATCAGAAAGAATACTCTCATCCTTGTTTTCCTGTTTGAGGTGAAAGTTTAGCTTCTGTTCCTTGAACCAGGCTGCTTGTCAATTTATTTTCCTTTCTTTTTTTTTTTTTTTTAAGAATTTACTTTTTTGCCGGGAAGTGGTGGCACATGCCTTTAATCCCAGCACTTGGGAGGCACAGGCAGGCGGATTTCTGAGTTTGAGGCCAGCATGGTCTACAGAGTGAGTTCCAGGACAGCCAGGGCTACACAGAGAAACCCTGTCTCGAAAAACAAAAAACAAAAAAGAATTTACTTTTTTAATTCACTTTACATCCTGATCTCAGTACCCCTCCTCTCCACCATGTCCAGTCCTTTCAAGTCTTTACCTCTTCCCCTCCTCCAAATTTCCTCAGAGAGGGGGAAGCTCCCCTTGGATACCACCCCACTCTGGAATGTCTAGTTACATCCTCTCCCATTGAGACCCAACCAGGCAGTCCAATAAGAGGACCCAATGTCAGGCAACAGAGTCAGCGACAGCCTCTGCTCAAATTGTTAGGGGACTCACAGGAAGACTACACTGTAATGTAGGCTTAGGTTTTTCAAAACCTACTTTAACAAGGATTCTTAAACACTTTAACCTCCCTTCTAGCCCACCACCCACCAGAGGTAGTTAATAGGCCAAAAGGGGATGTGGAAATGATTAGAAATAGTTCTTTTGGGCATCTTTGTTGTCAGGATATCAGCAGTTCAATTCACACAAATCAGAAATCAGCAGTGGTAGCTTGATCCACTCACAAGCACTGTTCATGAATCAGCAACAGCAGCTCAATCCAGGAGAAACTGCAAGGCTCTGCCAATGGGCTCAAGTCTGCAGAAGTGGCAAGAAGCCACCAGAATACCAGGAGACACTCTTTGGTGCATTTCTCTCTATGAAGTCAGGGCAAATGGTGTTCAATGAAGAAGGCAAGGTGAACAATGCCACATAGCATCATCAGCAAAGACCAACAAAGACCAGCAAAGACCAGCAAAGACCAGCAAAGATTGGCAAAGCGAGCCAATGCCAGAGTGCCATCTACTGTCTGTTGGGTTATATTTATACCCTTTCCAAACACCATGTGTTCTCTCAAGCACTCACTGTAGCAAAACATCGCATGCCCTTTTCCCAGGCAGCTTCCAGAAAAATACCACGAGTCTATTCTCAACAAAGCATCTTCCCATGTGTCTGCTTCAGTAAAAACACATCCTCTCATAAAACAGTTTCCAGAAAAACATCACATGGCATGACTGAGTCTGCAAAGAAACCAGAAATTTCCACTTCTATGTACACCTGCTATAAGAGTGTAGGGGGTCTAGGCTCAGCCCCTGCGTTCTCTTTGGTTGGTGGTTCAGTCTCTGTGACCCCACCCTGGCCCAGGTTAGTTGACTCTGTAGTTCTTCTTGTAGTGTCCTCGGCCTCTCTAGTTCACTCAATTGTATCCCCGACTCCTCCACAAAATTCCTTGAGCTCCACTTGATGTTTGGCTGTGGATCTGTGCATCTGTTTCTATCAGTTGCTGGACAGAGCCTCTCAGGAGCCACTATTTCCTGAGATGTTTGTCAATTTCAATGGCTTTCCTCATTGCCGCTGCCTCTCCATGATCTGGCCGACTTGTGCTTTGCACCTTCTTAGAGTGTTGTTCTTGTATACATGGGTCATCTTTTCGTTAGCCATTAGTAGTCTAAACTTTTGTTCTTTAGTATATGCTCATTATTAGTTCCAAGGCAGACAGGAGCTCATCAAAGTCCAAGAATGTTCACGGTTCTTTGTTCTCTTGTTGCAATTCTCTGATTTGCTTGTTTTCTTGCTAGAGTCCCATAACTAGTAGGGACTGTGACCGATGACTTCAACTGTATTAAGTTCTTGGATGTCTTCCTGATGGTGCTTCCTTATTTCTGTGGTGAGTGGAGAGTTGTAGTCTACTCATGAGAGGCTCTGCTGAGTGGTCATGCCCTCTTGACTGTTCAACTAGGGCTTTAACATTTTTGACTGCCTTTTCAATTGTTCAGATCGCTATCAGTGCTTTCCAGGAGGATGGAGAGGTTAACTCAGCTCTGGGACTAGTCCACACGTGTTATTCTACACATTCAGCTTCAGCCGTCAGAAACAGTGAAGAGGACCCATCAGATCCAGGTGCTCAGAGGACTCCCATTCCCCAACTCACGTCCTCAGCCAGTAGCCTGCTGATCTCATTCATGTCCCAGACCTGGACCTGACAAGAACCAGAATGTCAAGCCTCACCTCTGCTCTCTTACGTGTTCCTACTAGCAGCTGAGAGAATTGGTATTTTCAGGCCCTTAAGATAATATAGTCTTCCTGACAAGTTTTAGAATTCTTTCATACCTTGCATTCTGAAGTCTTGTAATGATTTGAAGTTAGTAGATGCCCTTTAAATTATTTTTACTCTTATTTATATGTGTATGTGTGTGTGTGTAGAGGTGCACATAAGTGCAGTGCCTACTGAGGCCAGAAGAGGGCACTGAATCCCCAGGAAATGGAGTTAGAGTCAGCTGTGAGCTGCCCCACATGGACACTGGGAACTGATCTAGGATCCCCTGAACGAGCGGCCAATGCACTTAACTACTGAGCTGTCTCTCCAACTGAGTATTTGTGTTATTGAATTCTAGATTGCTGTCTATTCATGTATGCACCTGTCTATCATTTATTGTTTATCTACACCACTTGCTTGTCTATATTCTTGCCTCCCTTGTTTTATTCTTTCTCTTCCTTTCTTCCTTCCTTCCTTCCTTCCTTCCTTCCTTCCTTCCTTCCTTCCTTCC